CAGCTCCATCAGCCAGTACTTATTATAGTTATCAAGAGATTAGAAATATATTAGAGCAACATCTCAGGACTGTTCGTCTCCAGTACGAGCAGGATTCAGCGGACTCGACCGCAGCTAATCCCAAGAAGACGCAGCGGGGCAAAACTGTCCATACCAGCGTTATTACGAGCGGACGGGTGCCGTGTGTAAACGGACTGTGACAAAACTTGCGTACTTAGTGATCAGTATACTGAGATCTTTGCTCGGGAGACCTCTTTACCACAGGTTGAATTGGTTTCAACATTTCTAGAGGATTCTTGCTCAGCTGTTTAACACAACGGCAAGGCATTGATCTCTCTGAAGATTCCGTTCCTGATTCAATTCATCCGAAGCTGTTGCATGAATTGGCCACTGAACTGAGTGGTCCTCTCACATGCGTGTTTTCAATATCGCTTGACAGTTACATCCTACCTTCGTAATGGAAGAAGGTAATTATCTGTCAGATTTTTGAGGGCGGTGACAGCGTTCTGCCCGTGAACTACCGGCCTGGCAGTTTGACAAGCGTAGTAGTCAAGTTGTTTGAAAATCAGATAAAGGATTCAGTGGAGTAGCACCTGAATAGATGCAACCTGCTTAGTGTTGCGCAACATAGATTCCGCAAGGAATTTTCATGCCAGACTAATCTACTCGTAGCTCGTGAAAGCTGGACCGAAGCGATAGACTGTGGCTACGCTGTAGGCGTGCTATTTGTGGACTTTTGGAAAGGTTTTGACACCGTTCCTCATCTTTGACTCTCACTAAAGTTGAAGTCTTACGGTATATCTGGCCGTGCCCTTCAATGTGTCTGCCTTACTTGAGAGGAGGGAACAGTGCGCACGGGTGGGGTGTAGCCTTTCGCTCAGGCAAGCTGTCCTCATTTGCGTCCCGCAGGGCTCGGTACTGGGGCTAATTTTTATCGCCATCTATGTAAATGACTTGCCGAGAGAGCTCGGATGGTCATCACAAATGTTTGCTGATGACCGTAAGCACTGGAATATTGTGGATATCCTTGGTGCCCTGAAGCAATTCAGCGTGCCTTGGATAGGCTGTGGGAATGGTCTTCCTTATGGTTGATGCCCATAAATAGCGCCAAGTGCTCTGTTCTCCAAAGCGGAACCGCTAATCCTCCCACCCGATATGTTGTCGGCGGTGATGAACTCCCTGTTTTCACTCAGCAAGCTGATTAAGTGCTCGTACACTCACCAACACTTCATTCTGGTGACAATTGGAAGAATGCTGCTTGTCGGACGTCTCGTATGATATGGTTTCACCGCCCCCTCTTTCGGAATCCTAACACCCAATTAGTTTGTGATGGTATTCTCGGCATTCGTCCGACTTCAACTGGAATATTGTATCCAGGCTTGTCCACCATGTCTTAACCGAGACAAAATGGACTTGGAGAGGGTATTACGAGTGAGCATTTGGTTAGTGCAGAGTCCACGAGGACAGACGTATCCTGAACGCATGTTCAGTTTGGGGATGTACTCAATGCACTACCGAATGATAAGGGGGGGACCTGATTCTCACTTATCGTATTTTGACGAGTAAGATCTGCCCGGACTTGCCAGGGCTGTTTAGTCCCGGTACGTTACCTAATCTCCGCGGTCACCCACACACACGCTTCCTCGTTGTTACTCGTGGTCGGATCATCCCAGGGAAATTTGTGCGTGCATAAACCTCGCATTGTTAGCTTAGTCGGCATGACGATGGGGGAAAACATCCAAAGGATGTCATATATTGAGGATATAAAGTCCAGAATTCCTCTCCGAAATTTTAACTTGCGTCAGAATAAAATCGGAAGAGAACCACATTTCATTACAAAACCCAACGACAGCCCCAGATAAATACACTACTGGTTTGACACAGTCAGTGACCTCAGTGAGCGGGATCGCTTCGTACACATCTGGGTAGTTGCAGAACCATCTCCATAGACGGAACCCCACTCTCTTCAGTATCGCCCTAATTTGTGCCACGAACTGTGTAATCCTTTCTACAGTTGGCATAGGTATCAGCAAGTCGTCTACGTTAAAGGTTGTTGCGACTTGCCTCCGTCACAATACTGGCTGATCGATATCCCCACTTATCTACCGTTCGACGTAACTCAGAATGTGTGCAGAATGGAGGCGACGTTAAACGGAAACGCTGATCCGTCAACTGATACTCTACCACCTCAGAGCCTATCTCATTATCCTTTCACCAAAAGAAGCGTAATGCGCCTCTATCACTCCCTGGCAACATTATTGCATTTACATATCTTCTATATTTGTTGAGATTATCACCTTCTCTTTACGGAGAGGCATCAGAATACCGATAAATTTTGCCGTGGCATCTGGGCCCTGAAGTAGCTGGTCATTTAGGGACATCTTTACGCTTGGTGGCACAGTGCAAAAAGATTCTGAGTTTTCCGTCTTTCTAGGGTTTATAAGAGGATGTTGTGGTAAATATCACCTTAATGTATAACCAGGTTGTAACTGCTGAACTGCACAAGAATTGCATACATGTTCTAAAGACTCGCTGCCACACTTTCAATGTATTTTGCTCGTAGTAATGAATTACCCAATAATCGGCGGCTAGGACACTACAGTTAATGCCAAGCTAGCTTATAGTTGTTGGAAATTTTCGCTCGCCGATATCTCCAAGGAAGGGCTAACTCGAAGTATTTATCTACCAACCGCACTGAATGCTCAGTGGTGAATAGGACATTTTTGTCGTCTAGGGAGAATAAGCGACAGATCAAATTCACGCTTTTAACGTAGCTTTCATCCAGAAGCTGGAATTGCGCTTCCAGCCGTATATAATCCACTTACACACAATACACTGATAATCTACTCTTTTGGCTCCAGCCCACAGGTACCAATATTGTCCATTCTCGTAGGGTCTTTTCGCCAACCATGACAAAATTATATCGCAGTTCTGCTGCAGAAAGTGATTCTTATTTATTGTGTTCCTTTTAACTTTAGAAGTTTGGAAACTATAACCTTTAAAATCAAGACATATGAAAAGAACTTTCTTTTCGACAACCTCTTCCAATCGCAAAGTATTTTAACGCTGAATGTTACGCTGAATGCATCTTTGCTGTTAAAATTATTCGTGCAACGCGTCCTCGATGGATTTCATCTCATCATTTAGGGCGTCTCTGAGCATAACATTCTTGCCCCTAAGGTGTGGCAATCTAATGGGTTGGGCTTGTATTAAGGCAATACAAAACTGCTGAAATTTGTATCCTGACCGCTCTACGCCTGTTGGTTTATCTTTCTTAACAGGGAATCATCCGTGCACCTATTCAGATGTACATCCGGCAATAAAAGTTGGTTCTCTTGTTTAAGTTCGTAGGTATATCTTATTGGCAGCTGCGAACTAATCATTTCTATGGTTATCTTCTCAAGACTCGTGTCTTTATCGACCTCGTAAACAATGTCATCTGTATAGCGATATTAGTGTTTGAAACGGTCCTAAGTAGACCCAATATCGTTTCCATGTTGTCATGAAAACATCCGTTTTCACTATTCCGTGAGGGGACGCCATTGCGTCTCTATCAATCTGTTGGTATCATATAACGTCGAAAATGAACTGATGGCTCTAGGTGAAACTCAGGAGAATTCCTTTAGTCTTGGTATACGGTTACTTAAATGAATGCTGTCTTCGTTCACCTAGGTTTCCACATATTATTCTGTTGTTTCCAGCAGCGGTATATTCATAACGGAAAAAGCTACATCCAGTGCAAACAATTTTTTCTATTAGGTTCCCAGCTATAATTGCTCTACAACTATGAGGCTATAACAAAAACTGGGCTAAATAATTCGTTTGCTTCTTGGCTGCTATATTTTTGACAGCTAATGGGATGTGGGATGGCTTACCGAGTTTGTGGTGGACATTATTAGGCTTGGTGGTACACCGGATGTGTAACCTTCAGTTGTCTACAACTTATTGGATATATATTCTGACTTGTCCTAGACTATAAAACAGAGAAGCATGTATAAAACCGGGAGTGGAACAATCTTAGGCACTTCGTCTGATTTCGTTCGATTTTGGCATTCTAGTTCTACCTTCAAAAAAGACAGCGGTTCGTCTTTGAGAATTCGGTTCCTTTTGTAATACCGTCACTTCTATTCATTAAAACAGTGTTACTTAAACTAAATGACTTGTAAATGAGGATAGGCGTGTTCTTTTTAACTCTTTAAATGTCAACAATACTTGTGTGTATCCAGTCCAAATTTATCTCGCTGGTATTTTAGATACTGCTAACAGCAATTAAATAACGAGTACCTGTAAAAGTAACTAGTATCAGCTTATGAGGCGGTTAAATCTTGCGTTGTTAATAGCACTTGTTATAGCATTGTCTCGGTATATAGCTGAAGTATTTTTATTTCGGATAACATAATTACGAACTGAGGTACAATACTACAAGAAGTTAAGCCGGAAGCATCAATTTTGAACAATTACCAGCCTATTTCTCTGGATGGCCAAGGAACATAGGCTGTGGCTACACGGAGCCAAGTGTTCGTGTTTAAACATCAACTATTTGCTGCACTCTCTTGTCTGTGATCTGCGAAGAAGAACCACAAACAGCTGCTGTTCATCAGGTGGGTATGTCAACAATGAAATTTCTCAGGCATTTTACCACGTTTGTTATCATGCTTCATTTTGCGTGTCGACGAAGTGATTGCAGTTCGGCAAAATAGGTTTCCGAGAGAGGTATCCAAATGCGAATGGGTTTTCACAAGTATCCTGCAATCATTCAATAACCGAACTTTTCGGTTTGGAACAGTTTAAAATTTTGGGCTACGTGCTGCGACTTTGTACTTTTCAACATATAGAACCTATTCAGCTATTCATAAAGAAGACCAGTCTGAGGCAAACAGTTCTTCTCAATGATTCTTCCAAATCTCCTAATAGGTAACTGTATTTGCCATAACATTTCAACCGTGAAATTGAAAATACGCAATACTGCGAATATGTAACATAAATACAGTCTTCACTGTGTGGAAAAACAACACATCAAAAACATGGAAAGATTAGAATATATGCACTAAACGAAGATCGATTACAGCAAGTGTTACGGCACATGAATAATCATTCTGTACGCAGCGGCCAGCGGCTCTGTCTACGGTGTGCCCAGCGGCTTCGCCTACGCGTCATCCGTCTTTCATTCGTACATTGGGATATGCACGTACGTTGCTGTTCTGGGGTATCCTCCACAGTATATGCTATTCCAAACATTCCATGCCCTATGTGTGTATTCAGTGTGCCACATTTTTCACGACAGATATCCGCCGAAGTTCCTCCAGTATTGGTGCAGCTTCTCGCAGTTCCTAACATGATAATCTGTTGGAAGGAACAAGGAGAGGCTTAATAATCTGTCACCCTTGAGACAGAAAATTGGGCTGACAATAACTTGCTGACACTGTGCACTTTTATAGGGTAACATTGTGTTAGACTCGGGAAATATTTACAAGGCTTAAAACCTGTGATGGTTTACCCGGTCAAAACCGACAGAAGCGTTAGAATCATAGCGAGACGTACATTTCACTGGGTTCTGGGACATAGAGTGTCTTTGGTCAAAGCATTTTAGTCACATGATATACTCATCGCATCTTGTTTTCTAATTGAAAATAATTAGTAAACGTAGCACTCGTGTTCGTAAATTCGAAATTATTTGCACCATATATATTCAAATGACCTATGTGAACGTTACGACACCAAACTTACCACTATGATCAGACAAATATTGAAACGCATTGCTGGATCTTATCTGTTTTTGTGGTGATCTCGTGTTTGCTACTCGGGCTCAGTGCTGTACTGTCAGTATATATGCATCCCAAAATAGAGATACAGCGAGCATGTGATCCTTCGCCTTTTGGTCTAGCAGCATTTCTTATGGTCGTGCAAAATAGTTGGAAGGCTCTATGAGCACACCGAGAAATATTTGTAAACGTATCTCATCTGACTACCGCATCTGTACAATAATGACAGACGAAATGTACTCCCCCTGCACACCTTGAACAAGATTGCGGTATTTCCTATCAAAACTAAGCCAGGTGCCTTGCGAATAGTGCCTGAGAGTTCTATGGTGAGGGTAAGATTCTAAAGCTTGATCGATTAAATTGGATTGGTCAACCGGCACAACGGTTCGGCACTGATCCAAATGCAGTTCGCCCTTACTGGCAGAGATAAAAAAGAGTTGGAAAATATTTTCAAAATGGCGCCATCAGAGAATGTGGTAAACGTGATGGTAGAGGCGGCAAAATAATAGAATTTTCTTTCACAACCTACAGAGCAAACGGTATTTGGCACTGGTAATCAGTAACGTATTCTTCATATAACACTATTCAATTTTTCAATTTAAGATGCAAAGCTTGAAGCAACTATCGGCACGAAGCAAGTTTTAAGTTTAGACTTATATAAAATAACTGTACGAGAAAGGACTGCTTACGTTTAACAAATAGCAACCTAACGTACATCATGCCGCAATAAACGGTTGCAGTTTTGGAAATTAGCTTCTATATGCTATTTCTGCTAAATGTTGACGTAGTGTATATAGAATACTAACCTCCATGCTTTATGGTCGTCTTACTATATTTTAAGTTTTGTTGTCCTAAGAAGTCTCACCCTCTAACAATTCATTTTGAGCATTACTTGCTGCTTTTTACTGTAACTGTAGACCACTTGGTGAATGGAATGACCCAAATACATCAGTACATTTATACATGAGACTTTGAGTTGACTTAATTGTTTTCCGTTTCCAATTAGTTCCTATTTCAATGAAGAGTTATCCATGCACAAAAACATAAACCAATCTATAGGCTGGAAAAATTTACCTTTATCCCAAATTTATCGACTTATCTCCCATAGTTAGGTGGATTAAATGTGTAGGTGCACAATCGATAGCTATGCATTCTTATGTTCTGGACATTTGATTCAATTTTAATGATCTGCAGAATTCACCTACGACATTATCTCCCACAATAGTGTTAAATTTTTACTGCCTATTATTTATTTTTTCTGACTTTACGTTTTGAAAACACAGACATCATTTTGGTTGGGCTCAAAGCACAGTTGGCTAATCTCACTATCACGCCTTTGCTTAAATTATCACATATACCAAGTTTCAATTGCACTCACATTATTATCTTGTAAGAATAGATAATATTTCATCTGCTTGGATTACTGAAAACCCACCGTTGGTTTGCTAGTTGTATCCTTCTGAATGAAACAAGTCATCGATTAAAATGCGACAGTAATTGTTCGTTAAAACGCTTTCAACCTATTGGTAGGTTCTTGACGGAGGAACCGCGGATGAAAAACTCAGTTTAGGGAGGAATTTCGATATCAACTCAGTCGGCTATAGAGTATTGTCAGAATCCAATGTTAATCTTGACTTTGAATTTGGGGAAAATTAAGTGTGTGTGACGCTAGTGTGAGGTCACCTGTAGTCGACTGACGAGTGTGAGTTACTTGCAAACCACATGATTATAAAATGTTAACGGACGGTCAGCCAGCATCGCACACCAAAAACACGACTGTGGTATTAGTTTCAAAGGGTAGGCATTAGTACATACATAGGAATTAAACGTCCGGCGAAAAATAATAGGCAGCCTGTATCAGGCAGCTGGCATAAGATTCAAGCTGCCGGTGTGTGGCAATTGCTATGGTCATAATTGGCAGATTGTTTGGACTCCCCTAGCAGTTTGACCACGACAGCTTTCGTTAAAAAAGCATACACGAATTGTAAATAACCAAAACAAACAGGTGGATAATATTTCAACAGCTGTAGACTCAGTAGTAAAAAGCCGGAATGCGAAAACTTAAACAAAATAAGAATAATTAACATAGAGCTGTCAGTTCCAAATACGGATAAAAATAGAATGGATGCAATAGCAAACAACTTCACGAAATTATTAACAATACAATAAAGCAGTTGCACCTATGATTATTCTCACTGCCAAAACGACTGATTCGCAAAAACAAAGGTAATGATTTAGTTGATAAAAAAGAGCTTGAGGTATTCCATTTTCAATTACTTTTGGGTTATTAATTATAATGCGCAAAAGCTTTGTTGAAACGAACGATAATTCAAATAGAAATCGTGCCCTCCAGCACCATTTGAGTCAGCCGCCTCAAAATAAGCATTACGCGGCTGCTTGCTCAACATTCAGTTGTAAAGATTGGATGAAAACTATCGCCATTCCTCCTATGTGAACAAATTTACCGACCCAAAGTAGAAACAAAAAATAGAGCGGACCAATACCGAAAACAAGTTCGCACTCAAGTTCACCAACAAAACCAACGAAGACTTGTGTAAAACGACTAATGTAGAGAGACAAGTACAGCAAAAACAACTATCTTCGAGAGTTGCCCAGGAGGAAATCCCTTGAATCGACGTGCCAGACGTCCACCGAAACGCACCCGAAGGTCGGCACACACAGCTGCGTAATCGGAGTCCACGCTCGTGCTCCAATTCGAGCGACAGTATTGGACACAGCCTCTCCAGTGGTAACTAACCGCGATATGGTCGATTTGCGTCCACGGCTGCTGCGAAGCTGGTGGGCGCCAAGCCACTCTTCTATGGGTGCTATGTCAAAAGTTTGTGCTCGCGAGAAAAAGCGAGCATCTTCACACAACAGTGGCAATCGCTCACCGTTCTCATAACCGAAGCGTACACCATGTGTGCAGCGCAGATTAAGCTCAACGGGGACAAATTTTCGACTTCGGCGTTTATATCGCCAGCCAAAACCACAGTATCCATGATTCGTCTGTAACGTACGTGATCGTGAATTTGCTGATAGAAACCATCTTTCACCGAATCAGTGCTACAGTTTGTAGGGGCGTAGGCCGCAATGACAAACAGGCCCCGTTTGTCCCCACGCGACGTCGTAGCATGGAAGGTGCCATCTAACCTAACTGGGCACATCTAACTGTTGACTGGGAGCGTGTCGATCAGGGCAGCTTCAGCCAGGGGACACAAAACAATGCCGACGTCAGCTTGACCAGCGTTTGAAGCCGCATCATCGTCAGTCAGACGAAATGAGAACGTGCCGCCAGTGTCGCATGTGGGGATCGTAAGGTAAGCATGGAGCTCGAAATTTGCAAAAGCCTTTCCGATAAACAGCAAAAAATGTTTTGCAAAATATATCAATAGATCGACATTTGCTGTTTATCGGAAAGGCGTTTGCAGGCTTCGAGCTCCGTGCTTACCTTGCGATCCCCACATGCGACACTGGCGGCACGTTCTCATTTCGCCTGTCTGACGATGATGCGGCTTCAAATGCCGGTCAAGCTGACGTCGGCATTGTTTTGTGTCCCCTGGCTAAAGCTGCCCTGATCGATTGGCTCCCAGTCAACAGTTAGATGTGCGCCGTTAGATTACATGGTACCTTCCATGCTACGACGTCGCGTGGGGACAAACGGGGCCTGTTTGTCATTGCGGCCTACGCCCCTACAAACTGTTGCACTGATTCGGTGAAAGATGGTTTCTATCAGCAAATTCACGATCACCTACTTTACAGACGAAGCACGGATACTGTGGTTTTGGCTGGCGATCTAAACGCCGAAGTCAGAAATTTGTCCCCCCGTGAGCTTCATCTGCGCGGCACACATGATGTACGCTTCCGCTATGATAACGGTGAGCGATTGCCACTGTTGTGTGAAGATGCTCGTCTCATTCTCGCGAACACAAACTTTGGACATAGCACCCATAGAAGAGTGGCTTGGCGCCCACCAGCTTCGCAGCAGCCGTGGACGCAAATCGACCATATCGCGGTTAGTTACGCTGGAGAGGCTGTGTCCAATACTGTCGCTCGAATTGGAGCACGAGCGTGGACTCCGATTACGCAGCTGTGTGTGCCGACCTTCGGGTGCGTTTCGGTGGACGTCTGCTTGGTCCATTCAGCCGATTACCTCTTGTTTACTGGCAAAGCTATTTGTTTTGAATGTGTATCAAACTTCTTTGGAATCCGCAATATGCGTGCATCTACTTAATACGGTTGATTTTCGCTTTTTGCATGAGCGTCAATTTTTTATCAGCGGACATGGCTTTTTGGCAAATCGAGCTGCTGTCTTTGCTATTTGTCTTGACATTTTTACTGTAAAATATTGATGGTAGTCGGCATATTACGGACTTAAGCGTATTTAATGAGGCTGGCAAATCTCAGTGTATTTCTGCGTGCTATTGAGAAGAGGGACGGCTAAGCCTGGCGGTCTCATCGTGCATCGGAAACGAAAATGGCTGCTGCAGTTGGTACTGCTCGAAATTTATTCCATCTTGATACGGGAAATGGGCTACAGGATTCATGGTTTTAGCGAGGCAATACGCGACGAGAGGGACAGCTGATCCACAGCCTGTCAAAATGCTTGGTGCATTGGACTGACGACTTTGCAAAGCAATTTAACTAATGTGAGGTATCGCTTAGTTTTTCAGGCACTAGGTACGCTTCGCCATGGGTCGTCTCCTTAGATCCGCTCTAACGCTCGGAATTAGAACGTGAGATCAGACCGTTGAAATTGAGTAATGCCGCAGGTGCAGCCAGAATCACGCCAGCCATATTTTAATTCCCATGTGGGCGATTTACACTAGTTGCAAATGGAATTTTGGGAGCAAGAGACACTCCCGACCGTGTGAAGCCTGTTCTTTCTAGATCCAACTTTCAAGGAAGCTCCTGTTCGGAATGCGACCATCACAGATGGATCAGTCGAATTTCCACCGCCTCTAAAGTACTTGCCTTTGCCGGATTTCGCAGACTCTCTGGAGCTCGCGAAGTCCACAT